GTTGGCGATGTTTTTTCAAGAAATTATACAAAGACAAATAGGAAATGTATGAAATTATCTTGTATGTCAAATAGAGTTTGTCATAAGTAGATGAAGGACAAGACAACACTTGTCTCTACAAATTCGTAAAGAATACAAATATTGAATTCGCCGAGACAATGGAATTCAAAAATCATTAATATTAAATTGTTTTAAATCATTTTAATCAAATTTTTCAAATTAATTGTTGAATGTTGTAAATGTGATTCAAAAGAAACTGTAGTGGAATTGGCATCTGTGTGCCTACCATGAGTTTACGTTAGGTGAGCTCGCTAGCGATTACGTCAAAAAATTCTATGAAGATTTTATTTTTTGAAAGTAGCCGCTAGGGGCGCTGCACAATATGTCATACATTTAAATGTTATTTTTTTACGCAGTCGCTAGCGAGCACACCTAACGTAAACTCATGGTAGGCACACTGGTAGATCTGAACTCCTTATCGGTGACAACTTACCCCGAACGTCGTTTATGTCAAACGTGGCTACTTTTTCATTATATTTGTAGTTTTTCATTAATTAATTTTGTTTGAACATTTATCTCATAAATTACCTAACCTAAAACTAGACTATTTTCTTTAATTAAAACAAAACCGTTTATTCCTTTCAGCCTTTCTAAATACACAGAATACGTAAATCAAATTGTATTTTATTACGAAGTTATAACTCATTTTGTTTCAGCATTTAACACTGAAGGGTAGTGAGAGTTTCTCCTTAGTGATGAAACGAAGTGTTTAATTAATTGTGTATTCAGTACTTTGTAAACGTTTCTCATGCAAAATTATTTCGTTCCAGAATATAATTTATTTACTGTGCTTAAAGTTAAAACGCTTTAAAATACAGTACGGACAAGAATAGTCTTAAACGGACGCTAGTAAATTGAACTTTGATTGTATTGTGTGTATAGGTAGTAAAAGAGTATCCCCATTTGGATACAAATGTTGTTAGCCAGATTCAATGGCCGGTAATTCCTACGGGCAGCTATTATAGCGCGCTTCATTCCGCCCTTGCTGCTCTTATTTTTGACGCAGACTGTAACGGGTTGACAATTATTGTTAACAATCATCAATTTCGCTCTGTACACACTTTGTCACTGCTAACGTGGCTACGGCAGCTCGTGTAAATGGACAAAAAGCGCAGCATGTTAAGAAGCAAATGTGGAAATTGCCGTATTACTATTTTAATTTCAATAAGTGTAGAGACACTTCGTCATGATAGTTGTTAGTTAGTTATTGTTAGCATGTGCATGTTAAATTGTAAATTTTTACATGCATATGCCCGCTTTATTGGATAAATATGGAATTAACATATTAGTTTAGAGCGGAATGCTTTTTCCAATATGGGCCTATTTATCAAGTGATTTATTAGTAGATTGCTGGTTGGTACGATTTTAAGGGATAATAAGGGGTATGTAATGCCATTACACTTTTTGTAATAATATTCTGCACAAAACCATACCGTAACATTATTGAAACAATGTAATATTAGCCGACCAATATTTCCCGATGTCGAAATGTTTCCGTGTCACGGTCTATAAACTCCCAAGTCATTTCGTAGGTACGAGTATTGTTTAGGACACGTCCGCATTCTCCGGATTTAATAAGCTCCTGTCACAGTACAATGAGACTGCAGATTTCATATTTTGCTAAGAACATTGTCGTAGATATTAATTTGATTTCCAGGAAGACGATATTTGAGTGAACTAAAATATCGTCTTCCTGGAAGTGTTCTTCATCATAAAGTAGAAACGCTTTAATTTTAGAACTTTTCTGTTCGAATCCAATTCGTTTAGCCTCACTATAAAACTACCTAGTTCTTAACTGAAATAATAATAGCGTGTGCAACTGCAAACCAAAATCGGTTTTTATTGTTCACGTTTTCCGACTAGCATCCCGGCCGCATAAAAACTATTCGCTTCAAAAGCGGTTATTTGATATTTTGTTTCTCTAAGTTGGCAGCAAAAATATTATAAAATGGTTTGGATACAAAAAGCGGCATCGGCTCGTTCGCACCTGGTCCCGAGAGCCGCAAGCTAGCCGCTGCGGCAAAGAAGGCCCTACGCAAACGAAGCAATAGCTGTTGCAATTTCAATATTATATTATTTATACGGTAACGGTACAGGGGTCGGAGTGGCCGACTCGAGATCCGAGGAACGCGGGTTCGAATCCCACCGCCGCTCGACTATTGTGGTGAGTCCACTCGTAACACAAGCTTATTTAGCTTTCCACGAGGGGCTAATGGGACTATTAGGAATTTGGACAATACAAATTGCTAGTAATATTAAAAAAAAAAATATATAGATATATTTAATTAACTACAGTTTAAAAAAAATAAGGCATTTCGATTGTCTTTGCTAGACGAAAATTTGTTGAGTGCAACGCGTCCAAGAAGCAAAGCAGTGGTAGGGTTAATACTGGGACGTGTAAAAGTGCTTTTTAAAAGCCTATTTGTAAAAATAAGTTTTATGAGTTTTAAAGTAAGTTCACTTTTGCCTTTTTTCGCAATCAACAACAACACGGTAATTTATTTGAAGGTACTTTATATACTTGCCTACTTTAAAACCAATAAAAAGTATCTAAAGTACCTTAGTGAATAGTCGGTCGAAATAGTCATCCAAATATATGTACCTAGATCTTAGGAAAATGGAAAAGCTATGTTTATTTGTTATATTATATTTTATTTTTAAAGCATTAAGAAAATCTTTCATTTCACTTACATAGTATGTGCACAGCCTTAAAATAACCGCCCACTAAACGTTCCGCTTAGGTAAGTAGTATCCAACTTTTGTTCAAGAATCTTTCTTTCAGTAGCGAAGTAGAAAGAGAAACTTAATACGCTTAAAATCTACGATGTTGGTTATAATAGGTAACAAAGCGTAGGAGTTTTAAAAATGTAAAATGACCGAGCATTTATTCTAACGTTTTAAGTACAGGCGAGTTGTAAGTATTAGCTTGTGTGTTCGCAAATGATATTAACTACCTACTTAGAGTTGTGTTTTATTTGTAAATTAGAACGTAAGTTAACGTTTTCTAAACGTCATATAAGCTTAATTAATATAAATGATTACTTATTCTAGGTGTCATTAAATTATTCTTGAAAATAAGCTTCAGAACAACTTGTAGTAGTGTGGAATTGGAAAGCGCACCTGAGTAATTGGTATGATGTATTCAAAGGTTTAAAACTCATAACAGTGCGAGCGGCGTATATCGAGGCATCTACGAGCGCTGCACTGCACACATCAAACATTTAAGCCGGCAGAGTGACAGCGTGTGAAAAATATCGGAAAAATACTTTTTTTTCTAGAAAAAGTTACGAGTACTTTCTACACTTGTAATATTTTAAAACTCTGTCGCCCTTACGAGGTGCTACGGTTCAGAAAAATAGGTACTTTTGGTACTTGATTTAATTTGGTGACAGGGCGAACGCAAATTAGAAGAGCCAACCCCACTTCATGCTGGGCAGGGAGAAAACGAAGCTTGTTCTTTTTTTTTTCAAATTTTTATACTTGACAACGTAATGACACTTTGGACAATATTTTTTTCTCGGTTGTAAATATTTTTAAATTAAAATAAAAAACTAATTAGGCACACAATCAACTAACTTTCAATGACTTCTTAATGTACTTATTTACATTCATCTCAGGCTCAAAGAAGCGGCTCCACATTCAGTATACGTACAGGTGAGTTTTATAATTTACATTTAATTTACACGAAAGCAGATGAAAGCGTCCCCACGCTGCGAAATGGCAAAGAAAATATTTGAGTGTTTCGTTCGTACCCACGTCTCAGTCTGTAAACACTCGCGCACCTTTAACACTATTTAAGTGATGAAAATTCAAGGTATCGTATAGGTATACATTTTGAAAGCACAATTTGCCGGCAAGGCATTGTTAACGAGCGGGTAAAGCGCACACTATGGCCACGTTAATGAGAACGTAATAGGTGTTCCGCGGAACGTTGTGATCTGGAACCGTGTTCCCTTACCCTGCCTCTATTAGTACGCGTTAAATGTTACCCTGCGAATGAGCGTCAGATTACATTTGAATTGAGGTAATTTTAAACTTATGTTTTCATGTTTAGGGACCAGGGTACACGCACCGGCAAGGGACGGCTGCTGCTCTGTAATTTGACGTCACGCAATTCTGAGGGGTCAAAGTTGAGTAATGCCTTTTCAGTTGAAAAGTTGCCAACTTCAAAAATGTCGTCGACTATTGTAGACGAAATCGATTTTTCTTTGAGGTTCTGGAGAACATTTTCTGTGTTAACGCAATATGAATTTGGAATAGAAATGTGTAAAACTCGCAATGCGGCAGGGCATAATATAATATGTGTAAATGGTATAGGTATGCAATACCCTATTCCATTTAAGTTTAGTAATGAACGCAAACATGTGTATCATATTCATAAAATTGATGACAGTTTAATTCTATTTGGCATAATTAAGCTACCATTTGCGTGCCACGAATTTAACGATATAGGATACCTATTAATTACGTATCTTTTGTTTGGATAGTACTAATGAAGTTTTAAAACATTATGGTTAAATTAAATGAGCAGTCTACCGACCCGCCCTAGTTTCGCACGGTTGTGTAGCGACGCATTTCCAAGTAGGTACTTATACAGTCCTGAAAATACTGAATGATGCTTTAAACTACGCCATATAAGTACGACTTGTATATACTTTAGTGGAAGAAAGATAAGATACCCGTGGGGATGAATAAATCATCAAGATACTAGTTAACATGATATTTTATTAAAATGTTTTCGGCTAGTAAGTAATTTAACTCTATATTCAACTTTGATTGGCTTTGATGCTAATAAGGGTTCAGACTTAACGGCTACGTGAGATGATCGACGAATTTATCATCTTTATGACTATATAGTAAGCCTATTATGATTATTGTGTAATAAATGCCTATTTATCACACCCTTCAGTTGGGACTTGTGTTATGCAGTAACCAGTCACCTTCTCTTTCGTCCGATATCATTTTGCATCATTTATAGGGCGACTACACCACTATTGTCTGTGTAGATACTAACAGTAGCCATCAGAAGTAAGAGCTGCAGTCATTTACACAGTATAGTATCACCCGATCGGCTTAGTTCCATTGTAATGGAACCACCTGAATCGTTTGTGGCGCACAGACCTGGCTTGGTTGGACTCCGACAAATATTTACAGCGAACTTTGGAACAAATGCTTTAAACATTTCACCAAACAACAGTCAAACAAATATGCGTTCCATTTTGATGGAAACAACTAAATTACCCTTTTTCGCGATTTAAAAAGGTTTCAGGTTTTGTGTATGTACCTACCTACAATTGTACACGTTTGTGATTGCTCTTACAAGGCCATGATTCGTTTGTTTTTTGCTAGCAATTATTGTGCTGAAATACAATTTTCATCAATCTCATCCTCAGTTATACGTGATAGATATATCTATAGGTTGATGTCGAATAGGTTAAAAGTTTTCTAACTATTTGACTCTTGTGTTTGATAAGGGTCATGAAAGTGTCAATGCGGTACTGATTTAGTTAAGATGTTCCATATATAGTAGAATGTTTTGTAAGTTGAGGCAGACTTCTGCATAGGTGATATCGTTCTTTAATATATAAATAGTATCTATCAAAGCTGCTATAATAAGTACCTACCTATGTTATAAGTTCTTTAAGCAGGTATTCTTTGTCAGCGTTTTAATTCATAATTTTAGTATATTTTATGGAAACAGTTAGATTACAAGGATACATTTAATTAGCCTTCGCATTTCCATTGAACATAACAAGCTTAAACCGAAATGGGTATACAATTCAATTCATGTACGCTAGTATTGCCTTTCAAGAACATCGTATATAATTTCCCAATGGTTTAGTTCGCAAGCTCATTGACATGCGGCGCGATGATGTGTAAATGTTATGTAGCACACAAGCAGACAGAGTGCCTAATGACCCGAGCACTGTTTAGCGATAATTCCACGTTTCAATTGAATTTCAAACAGGATAATTGGGTTAAAGGGAAGGGAACAAAAACTTCCATGAATTATTGCTCAACTATTTGCCGTAGTATTGTGCATGTAATGTCCAAGTGTTATAATCGTAAAGGACACAATAATAGACATTAGAAGCAACAAAATGAACTTCTATCGAAATGATAGCCATGGTTGACCTGTTTTGGTTATAATGATGACAGGTTTTTGATAATGATGAACCATGAAATCCAACGCCCAGCCTATTAGCTTAATTATTACAATATTTAAATGAAAATTTTGTTTGAGATTAAATTTTGATTACTAGTCTAATTATGTATTTTGATTGGATGGGCTTTGTGTCGAATTACAATTACTACCAATAAAGTGGGCTTTCGAGTCTTATTAATTGTCTTACAACGCCAAATTAAAGTGATATGGGAAGCCTCATATTTAATTATTCCGTTCGCGTTAGTATGCTCCCGTACTTGCCAACCTAATCTCTTTATGATTAAACGTTGTAAAATGTTTTGGAAATTACCCCGAATTTGATAAAAAGGGAACATTATTAGCAATAGAGGCAATGATCGCGATAAAATCGTTTATAATTTGTACTGAGCATTCGATGTAAATACAACGGGAAATGTTAGTATAGCGCTGTAGAAACTAATTACGATAGCAATTTTGAAGCGTTTACTGCGGCAATAGAGAACACTAGTACAAACTAAACACTATCATATTAAACAGCGATCAATTGCAGTTTGCGCACGGATGTAATTAGAAATGCGAGCGTTTACGGTTGAACCGTCGAATGTGTTCGAATGGCAACTATAATATTGGAGCACTCATAGTGCGTGATCTCGGGAGGATACGAACCTTATCTTCCAAAAAGCGTGACTCCTTTATTGACGTAAGTATACAAATAGAGATACGTGTGTGCTGGCGCGGAAATATTTCAATCGCGAATGTGTAACGAGATCCCACGTGGAGCGCCCCCGGCGGTGCAGCCAAAAGAAAACAATCAAGTCAGTGGGTACTCTACTAATTACTGGCTTAGAAACTTGTACTTGCATTGTCCGAAAATATGAAGTGGAGTCTGAGCTATCACTAAATTTATAGGTAATTGAATACATTTTACGATTGAAAATTAAATCAAAATAGGCATTGCTCAAACGTTCACACCTTGAATTAGTTCAGCACAAAACATTGGGAGTATTTATTACCTATTAGTTATTTAAACCAATGTTAATTTATAAAGCGAAAATAAAAAAGATTTTTCTTTGATTTTTGTTTAGTAATATTGGTGAGTTTAAAATTCCTAATGGAAAGCCTAGTGTTTCGCATTTTATTTTTCGCTGAATTGGTTTAATGGAAATTCCAAGTCTTTATTTGTATTTAGGTCAGGCCGTACTCTTTGAACTGTGTCGGCTTGAGCAGGCTGCGGGCCGCATAACTACCATAAGGAAATAAAACGCTCCCCGCCGACCCTATGTTTGCCTTATCTCTTGCAAATTGTTACACCAGCAATTAGATTTCATTTGTGTTCGGCCTCCAGGATTGCTACGTGAACAGCGTGAAATTATGCTTACAGGGTAACATTGCTCTTTCTTATTAATAAATTAAGACTTGAATAAATATATTTGCGGGATTACTTTAATTTACTTAGCGAATGTGAGAGCAGAGCGCGGATTAGTATTGCGAAACCACGTACATTTCGTGATACGAGTATAGTACTTGTGAGAGAATATTTTACTTTCGTAACTGAGTATTTTACGTCTAAAAACTTTTTTAAAAGCATTGTAGCAGTACGTATTTCCTGAATGCAGTAAAATTGATTTTTTTTGTTGTGGAAAAATGTGAAGCTTTTTACCAAATGAATAACATTTTTATTTGTTAAAAAGGAAAAATATGTTTTTAAAAATCGGTCTCTTCCACCTCGTTATTGAAGCACCCGAATTATTTTCATAATTTTATAGTCAAATTTGTTCGTTTTGAACAGTTATAATATCTTGATTTACATATTTCACTCATTTAACTCGTATGTCATCACGACATACGATAGTCCACTATCTGTATGAGCCTTAAACCAATACTTTTTCTACTTACAAGACCATAAATTAATTAATTATAGTTACATTTAACTGAAATTCCGACCGAAGAAACAATTTTCGAAATATCACCGTGATAAAAAATAAAAAAGTGTCGCTATTGAAAGGAAATTGTAACTAGCGGCTCCATCGAAGCGACGCACTCGGAATATAATGCAATTACGTGAGATGGATTGCTCGCTCGAATCGGGGGCTCGTATAACTTCCTTATCTTTCAAGGTACCCAATTTTATGACGTCTTTATAAAAAAAGAATAAAAGATATGAGTCGCTGTTTCCCGACAGAGCCTATCGGAATGGCGCACACGTCGCGCCGCTAAAGGTAAATCGTCAACGTGTTCATTACAACGCGTTGTAGTGAATATTTTCCGTTGTGTATTTAGTTGTGGATTTTGTTTAGTTAGTTTAGTTGCACAGTCCCAAAACACGAATTGAAAGCAAATATTTTGAATTTCAGAAATAGACAAAGCCGAAAAATATCAAATCAAATAGTGATTGCGACTGGTTGACAATACACAGTTTTTTTTTCTATTTAAATTGTTCTAGTTAATATTAGTTTGTTATCAGAAAAGGGTTAGGTACCATTATTCGGATTCGGATATTGATTTTTGAATCAAAATCGCATTTATTATACAGCAATATAAGATGCAACAGTATTCAGTCTTGTACGTGTAAGTAGTTTTAGCTTCGCTGAGTTCGTGATTATCATTCTTATCTAAATCGAGGATGGTTGAAACAATTTATTTATTTATTTTTGTGGAAAATCAATGTCGTCTTACATATTTCTGTCCGATTCCTTTCCAATATTTTGAAACTCACTATCCCAAGGCCTGTAAAAGAAATATGTAATTCTACATCCGGTTGTCCCTCGAGGCCAAATGTGAGGTTGGTTGCTTCTGTGGAGAGGAGGTTGTACTACATGTTTTGAGATTAGATTCACTGACCCGATATCGGAGAATGTACTTCTGAATCATGTTTTATTTTAATTTACTTATTTGTTTTTCTCAAATATACCTAATTGACGTACTCGTACAACTCCATACCACCCATTTAAGTGCCCATGTAAAAAAATAAAAGTCAACGAAACTTAACAATGTATTAGATTGTGACACTGTGTCTTAACTAGGCTAGAGCCTGTATTACCAGATCACTGTGACTCGGTTACACAGGTTCTGATGAGACTCGGAAATTATTATGTATTATTGTAAATGTGGGTATAATATAAATGTCACGTCATCCCATGTAAATGTTACGGGCAAATGTTACTAAAATTGTCAGATGTTATAGGATGCCATGTAAAAGTTAAATAACGAAATATTTCAACAGTATTCAAATACTGCGGTGAGTTACGGTCTTCCTTAGTATTAAAATAAGTCGCTTCAAAAGAAAACTTAAGTTAATTACACTATCCAATTTCGTAAAATGTTTTTTCCAATACGAATTGCACATTTCTGTCGGTTCCGTGAAAGCTTCCTTCTGGTTAAGGTTACGACCTTATTATAGAGTTTTAGCATTTGTGGTTGTTTTACACTGTAGAAGATGAACGTAATAAAGCTGTAAATGCAGCCTTCTCGGAATTAGAATTTCGCGTGCTTCAATTTGGTCCATTCCTTTTTATTATTATGAAGAGCAATATCAATAGTTTGAGATATTAAGGTTAGGTGTGGTATTCACTTTCATGTTCCATACAGGAATGCAAAGTACATGAATAGCCACCGTTTCAAAAAAAGATCCTCTACGTTAATATTTGTACCAGAAATAAAACACAATACAAAGGATGACCTTTATTCACGCATCTAAATAAGGTTTATTCAGTAACACAATAATAGCTAAAAACACAATTTTATTTATGGTACAAATTATTGTAGAGCGGCCTGTTCATCCCGCGAGTTTGCATCGAAAACAAAACACGCGTGACGCACGCACGCGTTTTTTTCACCCATTTGCATTGTAAAGACATGAACTATGTATGATGGAAAGTAGAAAAAAAGGTGGTGTAATTAATACTGTGCAGTATTTTAACTGCCTGAATAATATTAGAAACACAAAATATAATTATTCATTCATAATGATGTATTTCCTCCGCCATTTTCCGCAGTTTGGCACTTCACGTTATACATTATTTTACCGAAGTTAGCCAATATGCCATACATCGGCGCATTACCGATCACTGACGTATGTCAACAAAACGGTGCTCTTCAGACAAGCTAAATTACACCATATTGTTGACGACATTGAGCATACATTTTTTTAATACCTTCGCGAAGAAAACCTTCTGTACGTAGTACTTATTATTATTCTGTGCCGTAGCATGGTAGCAGTGTGGCGGCCACAGCCGCGCGTAGCACGCTACAGCGCCCACGCTCGGTTTCAGCGATTCCGCTTTCGTAGTCATCCGTAGCGGCTACGGTTAAAATTTCCCGTCACTCGTAATTCATTGAACCATTGAGACTGTTCAGTAGCGCATTTTAGCTGATTGGATCAGAATGTACGTATAGCTTATATTCTGAAATGCATAAGACCTAGGTACTCGTAGGTCTTACATTTTCTAAGATACCTCAATACTTTCTAATAATGTACAATACTTATGTTTTTAAAGACTTGTCTTCAAATAGAGTTATCGTATATTTTTAAATTTTAGGTAACTTTAAAGTTTCGTTTAGATCCACAATATTGAAGTTGGACGAAAGAAGCTATTTTAAGAATTTCGTATGTAAAACAAAGCAATGCGCTCGTCAAGTGAAGCAAACACGATATTACCATATTTAGTCGAATATTCTCAATTGTGAGATCATACTTACTTTGTATTCCCCATCGCAACGTGTACCAGGAATGACTGAATAAAATAAATACACTTTTATCCCATTCAGCGGTAAGAGGTTTCTACGCCGGTATTTACGTTATTCACTTTGTCGTTGCTTATCTCATACGTGTCGACGAAGATACATGAAGATAACGTACTATTTTCCTTAAGAATTTATGTGACACGTTGCTTTCCAGAAATAATCAAGAGTGGAGAAGAAACACGCTTTAGAGGCAGCTAAGATGGGAATGTAATGAAAGGCTCCACAAATCTTTTAGGCAAGAACATCTATTACAATTTAAGCTAGGGTTTAGGCTGTTTTATTTGTTCCTACGTGCTTACTTTTGCTATATTGAGAGTCCATTTAATTCACTACACCTAATATATTTTACGTAACTTAATAGCTCTATGTTAAAAGAATTATTTAACAGAAAAAATATTTTAGGTGGCTCTATTGTAGTTCTCGTTTGAAGAAATAAAAGCTTCAACTTAGTTGTGGCAATTTTGTTACGGATTTCCCTCATGGGTAGAGTTTGAACCTACGGGAAATCGATTTTACAAGCCTATACAAAATCGTTTAAACCAATTTACGACCCTTTGCTATTGCATACAGAAGCCCACATCAAAGAGTAACTGAATGTGTCACTAAACTGTTACATGGCGCCTACATATCGATAAATGTTTATAGGAGGCCGGGCTTCGATACTGTTAAGACAAAAGGACAAATTTGGGTTAATTAAATTCCAGTGTTCGGGGCCCACCGTCGGGGCTAGTCACGGCTTCTTGAACAAAGTAAAGTCTTATCACCGCGCTAGTTGGTTTGTATCTCCCCCACCACTCAGAATGTTCGCACTTGGTGTTGCCAGGCTCCGTTACTAGCTAGTTACTAATCTTTCTTTCGAAACTTAAACTTCTGGATTTTGTGCGATAAAATTGCAATATTTGCTAGTTCAGCATGTTTAACACAATATCTTTATACATTTTTAGATACGTAAAATAAAGTGTAACTCTATGTATGTATTACATGTAAGTGATTTTATATGAATCCGCATTAGCTTGGGAACATATTTTCCTGTTTCAATGAATAGGAAGCCAAAAGGCATGCGGGGATTTTA